GGCTGTAATTACACTTGTTTGAATTTTGTGCCATGTAGTCTCCAGTGATTCAGGAGTGAGTAAAACAAGAGGTGTGTAGTGCTGTCGCAAATTAGAAGATACTTGGTTTGCAAAGTCTTCCCATTTTTTCTGGTTCATTACTTTGTAGTCAAAGATATGTCTCCGAGTGTGTGTCTTGTGTCTTTGTTGCCCTGTTCATGCATAGGGAAAAAGCCAGTAAGAGATTAGAATCTTGTGATCACTTTGGGTACTTGTATTTGGGTCATCAGTATCATAATCTGTAAGATATTGGAGAATTGGTTTGTAGGTTCATATAAAGTCAATCTCACTACTGAGATTGGCTCTATGCTATGTGTAAGTTGATTTATTTGAGTGTGAAGCTAAATCATACATGTTGTTGTAAGCTAGATATTGAAGGAGCTTAAGCTTGATAGATTGAGAGTGAATATTGTCTGCACTTGCATTAAAGTCTCCCAAGACAATTGGGTAGATATTAGATAATTTGGCCTGTTGTAACCATTGAATTATAGTATTTTGGGTCTGAAGACGGAGTTGTGCATCATTACTAGGAAGGTGAGAGAGATAATTCAGAACTTAAAGTTGTGTTTGAAGAAGAAGTCAATTGCTATTGTATATCCAGAGACTGTACTAATGTTATAAATGTGAGGAGCAAGATAATTGCAAATCATGATTGCTGTTCCTGCTTTGGAGCTATCTGTGCAAGACCACAGGTAAGTGTAATGCTATGTTTTGTATCATTTACGTGAAATAGAACAGCTAGAGAGTTTAGTTTCTGTGATACTAATAATGTCTAAGTTTTGTTGTAGGCAATATTGTTCCCAGGTCTCTTTTGATGTATGTTTTTTTAATCAGTGATTTTTATTGTTCATTTTACTTTAAATTAACAAATTATTCATTTTATATAACAGACATTACGAAATAAAGAAAAATTGCCAATATATGATGATATAGAGAAGGACATTGATAGATGTTACCCTGATCATATTCACTTTCGGGAAAAAGGATTTGGACAAGAGGATCTTTTTAATATATTGAAAGCGTATGCACATTATGATACAGTAGTAGGGTATTGTCAGGGCATGGGTCGTCTAGTTGGAATGATGTTAATGCAGATGCCTGCCGAGGATACTTTTTGGCTCCTTGTTGCTACAATTGAAGAATACATGGGTGGTTACTTTGCTCCAGATTTACCACAAATTAAAGTAGATTCTCGAATATTTGATTTGCTATTATACGAACATGATCCCAAGTTGGCGCAGCATTTTGTAATTAAGAATTCTTATGCATCTGAATTCTACATTTTTACCTAAATAATTAAACTGACTTGTTTTCTTATTATTATTTACATATTTTATCTACGTAATTAGAGAAATGAGTCTGTTGATCCAATCCTTTACATTCCAAAATGGTTCTTGACGATATTTACTATGGTTTTACCATGGGCATCAGTTCTTCGCGTATGGGATGTATTTTATTTCGAAGGTAAACCTAAAACATTTTACATCTTTTATTTATTTATTTTTTTTTCTTTTTCATCTTTCTCTAATAACCAATTGATCAATTTTTATAGGTGTCAAGCTATTTTTCAGAATTGGATTAGCAATCTTAAATTGTACACGAGATTATATATTGAACCATTGTCCAACAATTTCAGAAATTCTAGAATTTTTGGGTTCAATTCCACACGAACTATTAACACCTGACTTACTTTTAGATGCTGCCTTCAAGATTAAACTGAAGCGCAGTACAATAAAGAGATTGACTAAAAAAGCATCAGAAAAGAATGAATCAGATAAGAAAGTGAAAATTGAAGGAATTGAGTTTACATTAATTGGTGATGTAAAAAAAGGCTGAGGGAAATAAAATTATGAATTCGGAGGCTGGTGAACTCTCGAATAAATACTATCTTCATTGCATTTCAAAATATCCGATTATTTTATATTCATCACATCATTTCAACCTTATACATATTTTTTGTTCTGTATATATATATATATATCCGTTACGCTTGGAGATGAAAAGACAATGTATGTAGCTTTTTTCCTTTTGGAATCGAGTATTGATCTTTTTTTCCTAAGAGGTAAACTTGTATGTCATATAAAGGAATTTTATTTCATCTAGGTATTAATACGTTTTAATAATGTATAATACCATACCATATACATTTTACATTTTATGCCGAACATTCATCATGTTAATAAAATTAAAAGTATTCTATAATATAGATACATATATAAATAAAATTTATACGTACATATTATTTATTAAATATTTATTCACATTCAATTCAATATCAAATATATACTGTAAACTCTCGAAATAATTCCTAAGAGTGTAATTTCGAAATTTACCTAAATTAAGCTTAATTTGGGCCATAACATGCCCTCTATTTTGAGGTACATAATCTTTATATACATATATACATAATGGTAACATTTAATGTCATATGAGATCAAACTACATACTGTATAAAGAATTATTTATTACAGTACAGTCTACCCTCGTTAATATCAACTTCGTTAATATCAACCTAAAGCTATAAGATGAAGTTTTACAAATTATTATATATTAAAATTCCCTC